CTCTCTCCCGCCCCCTTCCCGTTCCCAGCCCCCACAATAGCACACAAAGCTAACATTGACACAAAACACGTGCGAACACTCACACACTCACACACTCACCCACTCACACACTAGCAACACAGTGTTGTCGCTGACGCTGTCGGTAGCAATCCACTAAGTCTAAATTTTGAGAAATTGTCGATTTTTACACCTTGCCAAACTTATATCAAAGTATTCAAAGATATGCCTTTCAACATCACCAAAATGCAGTTTAATGCTGCGGTCAAGGCTTACAATTTCCTTGGTTTTCATAATTCCTGATACAGAGAGCTCAAAAAATAGGTTTAAGTCTCTGTCTTTGGCATTGTCGCTAGCAATCCACTTAAGTCCAATTTTTTAGAAATTATTCACTTTTACACCTTCCCAAAGTTCTAGATCTATCAATTCAAAGTATTCAAAGATAGATCTACATCTTTGAACATCACCAAATTGCAGATCACTGCTACAGTCAAGACTTAAAACAGTCGCTTTTTAGGACAAGTGGGCTAACCCAGATTTCGGGGGTTTCCAGAAATCTTGACATACACCAAAAGTGGACATTACCCTACCTCTAGGAGAAGTTTGGTTTCATTGGTGTGCATACTTGTTTGGTTATAGAGAAAACTCTCCTTGTCTTTTAAAGAAACTGAACAATTATTTTAAAAACTTTACCTTCGATTTTCTCAAAACAGCATTTTTTTCGGGACAGCCCCCTGTGCTTAAAAGAGACCAAATGTCCTTGATTTTCATTGTTTCAGAAATGCTCTCGGGTCTGCTGGGGTAATTGTATAGATTGTGAAGCGCATAGAGATTGCTGTTGAGCGGGGATTTGCGCTATACAAATGCTATCTACAATTATCATTGTTATCCCTAAAATGGACAGCACAAAAAATAGGATTTTGTCTCTGGTGTGAAAAGTAATCAACAAACGGACTTAAACGGATTGCTCACGACACCGATGATATACTCACATATCTATTGGCGACCGTGGGTGGCACAGTAACCAAACCTACGCGTGTTGCTCATTGGTGTATTTTTCCGTTTGGTATTTGTTTTCTGTTGGCTTTGTCGTGTTTGTGTTTGATATTGGTCAAAACGTGAGCGAGGAACGATAATCAAGGAACAGGGACTTGTATATAAATATGTCAGAGACCGTAGTGACTCCATCAGTTGCTCGGAGTCTTGAAGGTAACCACACATTCTGCACACGCATTTCGCATACACACAATACAGTTTTGATCAACTACTTAGGTTTGGCTATAGTTCTGTGGATTATTGACGGTAAACACACACGCACACTCATTTCACATACGCACAGAACATTTTGGATTAATAAATACTTAAAGTTGCAAACTTTTCACAGCTTTTTGTTAGTGTAGTTCTGGGTAGGGTTTGCTACAATTGTCTGGATTTTTTAAGGCAAACACACATTATGAACACCCTTTTCATACACAGTGAGAACAGTTTTGATAAATACTTAAAGTTGCAAACTTTTCCCAGTTGCAACTTGTTAGTGTAGTTCTATGTAAGTTTTGCTACAATTGTCTGTATTCTTGAAAGTAAACACACATAATGCCATAATGCGCACTTATTTAACACATACACACAGAACATTTGTGATAAAATACTTAAAGTTGTAAACTTTTCCCAATTGTCATTAGTGTAGTTCTATGTAGGTTTCGCTACAATAGTCTGGATTTTTAAAGATCAACACACACTACGCACACTTATTTCACATATATGTGTCCCTGTCGGTCAATATCAGTCTTATGAAGGAAATTTCAAAAATGAGTTAACATTATCTGAAAAAAAAATTATCACTCTTTTCTAACAATTTAAAACAAGAATGAAGTAAGTATGAGCATATTTGACGAAAATACAGAGCTTTTAATTGTGCAAGGTGAGGAAACACGAAAAGGAGAAAATGGCCTCCGAAGTTGAGCAACATGTTTCCATTGCAATGGGGTTCTTAGAATTGAGATAGAGACTTGAAATTCATAGTCGATTACGGTCGTTTATTTTTATATTAAATGAAGCAGAAAACATCAAACTTTCAATTGATCCAAAAACAAAAACAAAAAAAATTCACGGAAATGTCATGCTCATACTGTGCCTTAACAACCTAGGGGGAACTGCTGCTTTTTCTTTCCTCATCCTTATAGTTGTCATTTTTTCTCTACTTCTTTTGTGTGTTTGTCACTGTCTTGGAAACTGCTATTTCCGGGGTGCCTTGATAGTCGAAGCTGACTCTGTGCTGTTGAAACTAGAAAAGTGAACATGAGCAGAGTAAGTCTGATTCCCTGTAAAGACTTCTCTGTTGACATCCACCCCTTGGCGCTCATAATAGCAGTTGCGAACGCCGTAAAACCTTACTAAAACTAACTACATATAAAAGTATACCTGTTGCTGTATGCTGCTTAAGTCTCCAGCATGGTCAGTCAAAATCTTGTTCACTTCCCGTCAACCCCAGGCCATCAACTGACCAGTGGGTCCTGTAGTCGACAGAGGCGAGCTAATCACGTGGTTCTGGGGTCAGTGCTGAAGTGACAAGGACGAGGGCGTTGGAGTTTTGGATTCCTCAACATGTTGGTGAGTAGAATATTGTACTTTGAGATGGAATAGACTGCTGGTTTATGGATGGTCGCTTCTAAGGACGGACAAGGGCGAAAAATCTCGGAGGGCCCGCGCGCAAGTTGAGCACGTTAAAGATCCCTTGGTGGTCTAAAATCGATAAGAGTAGGCTTCGGCCGGCACCCGGGCAAAATTCAAAATTTCCTACCAACGAAAAAGTATTAGGTGTGTCACGCGCGCTCATATGACCTTATGCAGTTGCGAGCGCCGTAAAACCCTATACTAAACAAACAGCTTCTAAGGATAAACGGGCTAACCCAGGTTTGGGGGTTTCCAAAAATCTTGACCAACACCAAAAGCGGACATTTCCCTGCCTATAAGAGAAGTTTGGCTTCATTGGTGTGTATATTTGTTTGGTTATAGAGAAAACTCTCCATGTCTTTTAAAGAAACTGAACAAGGGGCAAAAACTTTAACTTCGATTTTCTCAAACCAGCGTTTTTCGGGATAGCGCCTTGTGATAAAAAGCGACCATAATTATGTGGAGCACACAGAACAAGCTTTAGAACGTGAATAGACTGGTGGTTTATAAACGAGGAGTCCACTGAAAAAACGGGCATAGTCACAAACTGAAAATCGTGAGGGTATCAATTTTGAACGCTTGTTGACTCATAACTGTATTTCTGTGCAGGTGTTGGCTGATCATTTTTGTTAGATTTTCCATTCAACAACACTTCATAACAACATAAACCATCATCAGTCAAACAAATATGAAATTATGAGTCCACAAGCTTTTAAAATTGACATCCTCACCATTTCCAGTTTGTGACTGTGCCTGTTTTTTCAGTGGGCTCCTCAAATGCTGAGCACACAGAGCATGCTTTAGAGCGTGGATAAGCGCTGCATAAATCCCCACCATTGCCTTTCTCACCCTGGATCAGGATATTATTATAGAGAGGCGTCGGTGGCCTAGTGGTTAGACTACCGGACTTATTTACTACTAGCTGGGCCCCCTTTCGATGAAAGGAATGATCGGTGCTTTAATATCAACTAAAAGTCATTGGCCTACTATATAAATTTACACTCTACTGGAATGGGGCTATAAATCTTGAGAGATGCAAAAAATTATAAGGTCTAGATCTATACTCTCAAAACAAAATGCGCCTCGCAAAATATCACTTCCGGATTTTCTAAAATTACAGAGACAGAAGCGTCGGCCTACAAAAGCGATCGGCGAAATAAAAAAAAATTAGCTTATGCAGCAAAACTGTCTCAAAACTGAAAAAACCAAGGGCGCCATGCTCTGGAGAATATTTTAAAGAATATTTTGGCGAAAACCGCATGTCGATCGAGGCAGCCATTAAAGAGCCTTTTGAATAGCAAAATTCGGTCACCACAATTAGATAATAGATAATCGTGAGACTGTCGGTTCGGGAGTTTGAAGCTCAGCTCGGCCCGACGTTGTGTCATCGGGAAAGGCACTTTACAGACACGAATTTCACGATAGTAAAACACGACGTACGGATAGGGTTAACATGTTCTGCCGTCTATCATCACTCCCAGACCCTCAGCGTGTTTGTGGTCCTGATGGCGTCCGCCAGTGTGACGTCACAGACGACGGTCAAAGACGTGGACCAGAAGCTGGTGGAGGAGTTGGAAGCGAGGCTGACGCAACTACACGACCGCATGGCCAAACTGAGCCGATACACCATGATGCAGCAGTTCTCGGCCGAGGAAAGGTCGGTTTTAGTTTTTAGTAAGAGTTTTACGGCACTTGCAGAACGATAATAATAATAAATGACATTTATACAGCGCCCAACCCCGAATAAAGTACACCGGCTCTGAGCGCTTTACAATACAGTACAACATACAACAGTAACATGAAACATTGTGTTCTGACTAAAGAAAATTATTCTAAATATTCATCTTATTAATAATAAGGTTATATAAGTGCGGAAGATTAGAGGTGGTACAAGTACAAGAGAGTAATAAACATAAAAAAGGAAGGATTAGAGATCAGGACGAGTGGTCGGTTTTGGTAGACTGATGGATGAGACAGATAGACAGATAGATAGATAAACATACAAGCACACACATGCACATGCACATGCACATGCACACACACACACAC